GAAAGGAAGGAAAGGAAGGAAAGGAAGGAAAGGAAGGAAAGGAAGGAAAGGAAGGAAAGGAAGGAAAGGAAGGAAAGGAAGGAAAGGAAGGAAAGGAAGGAAAGGAAGGGAAGGGAAGGAAGGGAAGGAAGGGAAGGAAGGGAAGGAAGGGAAGGAAGGGAAGGAAGGGAAGGGAAGGAAGAGAAAAAAGAAGGAGAAGAGGAAGGACAGAAGGTTGGTTGTTTTATCGTGAGAGAGAGAGAGACTGAGAGCCCACAAACGAAGACTAAGTCTCATTTCAGCAAGGTGTGCCAGGAATGCATTCTGAACTTGCACCAACGAAGACGCCAGCATTACAGCTGTGAAGCAAGTTGGGACGCCAACTCGTATGCTGTCAGGCACTCGGTACTGCAAGCTGTACATGGTTCCATCCTGTGACACTAAGGCTGTGCCCAAGACCGAATAATCCTGAATAATTAGGGTCAGTTGCAACCCCAGATCCACCAAAATTCCAGATATGCTGCAATCCCAAATGTGCCTGTAACCATCTCAGACGTGCTGCAGCTTCAGTTCACGTCTGTCACGTCTATATGCTGCCCTGCGGCTTACGAGTCTGTGTGGGTGGGTCGGGTTGTGCAGGGCCTTTCGGTGGCTCGCTCACGACTGGCATTTGTGGCACGGGAAGCGGAAATCCTTAGTCACACCACAGCCACAAACACGGGCCAGGGCCTTGTCCGCTCGGGTCCGTGCCACCACCCTTCTGCATCGCCTCCAGCCTGCTCAGTTGCCGGTCTTTACTTTTCGCGCTGTCCACCAATCCGAGCACCCCGCGCATCCAGCAGGCCAGCAGGGCAAGTAGCCAATGTTTCGGACGTTTTGGGAGGAGCCATGTGCTGCTGGGCCACAACCTTGACTGCCTCAGCACCAGCCCATGCGCGGCCGTGCACAGCACGCGCCCTTGCATGCAGTTGCTCAGAACTTGCCCGGGCCCCCCAGCTCGCGGCCCACGCACAACCGAGACCTGATGATCAAGTATTTTGAGACTCCTCCGACGGAGGATGTCACGTGGGTGGCGACAAGAATCAAGCCTTGTCGAGTTTGTCGAGCAGGGGTAGGCGTGGACTCATCTCATCACACCAGCCTTTGACCAGCAAGCAATCGGCCGTCATCCTCGCTCACCTATGTACATCCGAAACGCAGCTAGGCAGCTACAGATATTGAAGCCGTCGGTGCCTTGCGACAAAGGCAAAACACGGCTCCAAGTCTGCAAACTGCGGGGGGTGGACTGATAAAGCGAAACAACATACTGCAGCCAGCAGGCGCTTGAGGGACGAGTCATCCGACCAAATAGCACGTTTGCCCACAGCGATCCGCGGATCACTGGGCAGTTTGCCTTCTATGCTACCTTGGGCAAGCCATCAAGCCAGAAATGGCCACAAATGCATCAGCGTCACAATTCGTCGCCTTGAACAGCCCCTCAGACACTGGCCAACGCTCTCCTCTGCAACGCCAAGTGCGCCGCTAAAGTTCCCAATCTTGCCCTCAGCTCAAGCTTCATTGAGGCTCACAACACTCTACGCACATGCATGCATGCCTAACTACTACAGTACTGCAGCACTGAGACAACATTGCCATCCGATATTGTCCAAGCTACCCCTTCACGCCAGCCGAGGAAGCGAACTTGGGAGGACGCCTCCTAAACTCATCACACGAATGGACAGGCGTGAGCAGCTTTGATCTTTCACGATATTGCCGGAAGAGCCGCCTCTCCGCGCATCACACCCCATGCGATGCACAGCCTCGGCTGAGTAAACGAGCTCAGGTCCCCTGCATCACATGTAGGTCTTTAAGATGCACGGAGACGCATAAGCACCTAACCTAGGGAGGCTCCTGCAAAGTGACTACCGTAGGGCTGAGCCGAAACTTTTTGAAAAGCAAAGTCATGAGCAGCTCTCCGAAACCTCAACCAGCAGAGGAGTGCGCTCGTTCCACGGCACTGCAGTAGTCTGCGGCTGACGTTAAGTGAGACGTGCCCATGGCATCCCATGGCTGAGGTCTGCTGCATAAGGGATCGTGCACCCGAGAACAAATGGCTTGCAAGTCTCTCTGCTCGACGGTAAGACCGCAGCACTCGCATCTTCCATATCTCAGTGACACGAAAAGACACCTTGCATCGCTTGCTCTTACCAGTCGCCGGCGTAGCCTTGGTGTGCAGGCCAAGGCTACAGTGCTACAAAAAGCTGAGCACATCTGGGCACTCAAGCCGAGCGGCCTTCTGCGCCTGTATAGCGGGCAGCGCCTGTAGTGAGGTAGTCCTCCGCGTTCACCACAGGACAAGCAAGGAACTCACCCAGGGCTGATTTGAAGAACCATCTTAGATCATCTTAGTGACTCGCCCCCTCCCCCCACCCCTGCCTTCGTCGCGGAAGTTGTCTTTTGCCTTGTCGTCTCCAGTTTTGGGCAGTCTGAGATGCGGTGTCCAAGTCCACCACAATAGGCGCAGCCCTCGACATGCAAAGATCGGCGTACCACACAGAGTACTCAATATCTCATCCGACTAACCCTGCCTTGACGCCGCCAATTTCCTCCTCCTCCCTGCCTCCACCGCCTGTCTCCAGCTGCATGAGGAAGGGGGGGACCTTGAGGCAAATCCATGCCCTGACATGCCCTGTGTGTGTGTGACAGGTATTCAAGACCATGCAAGCTTCCTCAAGAACTGCTGATAGTCATCTGTGCTTGCCAGGCCGCGTGTTGCCCAGCTTCCAACAGCAATGCCTTTAAGTCCAGTAGGATTGTCTCCTTGGCTATGCTGCTGAACACACACGACAACGCAGGCTGAATACTCAAATGGCACCATCTTGTTACATCCACATCATGCTCCGGAGTCCAACCAAGAACTGTCGGTCAGCATCAATTTATGGCGCTTGTGTTAACTTCACCAGCTTAACATTGAATCATCAAAACTGAAATAACAAAGGTCCGTACCAAACAGCTAAAGTCAAGACGGCGTTTGAAGAGAATTCGACAACTGCAACATTACGTTTCTGTTTTTCGGTTTTTCGGTTTTCTTTTTTGAGAAATGGCTGAGAGCGACATATAGCAGCATGTAGCAACTGCGGCTGGGACACATCCTGGTTCTTGTTGACAAATGTGGTAGCGACACCGGTGCGTCCACATCGGCCTGTTCAAGAACGAACAAGTCTCATGAGGTGGCCTCTTCAACATGATTTGGCGGATGTCATGCATCCAGTCGCTTCCTGTCTGCACCAGTTGTGTGGCCTGTCCGACCAATGCGGTGCACGTAGTTTTCTATCTCTTTCGGCATGTCAAAGTTGATGACCTCATATTGGGAAACTCTTGAGTGCTTCCATGACGTGAAGGAAGACGGCTCAGCCCCAGTCGTGCTGGATGGCCGGGAAGTCTAAGCCTTTGGAAGCCACATCTGTGCCAATCAAAACGTCCTTCAAAGCGCAACGTGCCGATGTCAACTTGATGCGTGACTTGATGCGTGTTCTGTGTGCTGCAACCATTCTTCTCCTTGGAGCCCTCCTTGAAGGAGCGTATTGCCTCGTGACGCTCCTCCTGATCAAGACCGCCGTGGATTGCCACTACCTGTCACATCTGCGATCGGCTGCACATCTTGCGTGAGACGGCATGCCACCTTGACTTGATGCAGTGCCAGTGAGACTCTGCACATCGCAACTGAGCAACGAGCATTAGTTGCTGCAGTTGCTGCTGGATGGACACTGTTGGATACTGTTGGTGTGATTAGGTTGGCAAGGAAAAACCATATGATTTTCCGACAGTGTAGCAGAAGGTTCCCGCTTAAAGAGTTGGGGTCTCGGCCGGAAAAGGTTACCAAAATCATTACCAAAACGTTCACGAAGCATTCGCGAAGCGTCAAGCCTTCGTTACGCACCGTTTAGCTGGATGTTGCATGAACCTTCGGCTGCAAACTGTACAAGAACCGATCGAGGTCCGAAGAGTCTGCCAAGACGTCGCTCCGTATCCATGCATGTTGAACAAATCAACATGTAGACGAGAAGGGAGCCAGAATCTGCAACTCACAGGTGAACAGCAAAGCAGCCAGAATGTCATGCAATGGTTAGTCGAACCTTTTTGCATGGAAAATCTGCTGGGCTCTTGTGATGACGGGCCATACATGGCTACTCGAACGTGACTTAAGCTGCTCTCAAGAGACATCGATTTCATGGGTCCCGGTGTTTCCACAGCGTATCTGGCTGGATGACATGTTTTCGAGCTTGACGGGAGCCAAATAGACAGCTTCGTGAACAACGTCTTGTGTGGCTGGATCTTCTTTGAGAAGTGGTGGTGTAAGGCCTTGTCCACATATCGAGCTGCGAGAATGGGGATTCGGCAAAATCTGGGTGCTGTAAGACCAAGTGTGCTGACGTTTGGCAAACCATACTCCACTAAGGACTGGAAAATCTGATTTCCAATTGCTGTGGGTGTGTCGACATTTCGAACCAAGCACATGGAAGACTCCTAGGTCAAGTGAAGGCTTGATCTAGTCTATTTTTTTACTTGAGCTATGGATGGTGACAAAAGATGAACGCATCTGGGTCTGTCCACGAATAAAAAGGAGCCGAAGATCCTCAGCCTAAAGCTCATGGTTGTGCAGGCATAGGGATCGAAAGGAACCTGTATATCATGAAGAGCCCACTGCAAGAACCCACCACGTCATCCTTGTTGACAACCCAATCTTTGCTCTCTTCCAATGCTGGAATGGATCAGGCACACACTGACGCAGACTGCACTGGAAAACTGTCTGTAGCGCTTCAGAGCAAACCTGCGATCCAAGGCCAGTTCAAGAGCCAGATTTTCAACAAGGCAGTGTTTTTCAGATATTCTGTTTGCAGTACACGATCAGTTCCACGCACAAACAAGACAGTTAATTTACAAAAGGGAGCCGTTCATTTGCAAACAAGTGAGGAGGCCCAGAACGATCCAAAAAAAAAATCCCTGGGGGGTCTCGGAAACACCGATCACCCTCCACCCCCCTGCCCCACCCCACCCCCCACACAGCAGATGGAAGCTAACTCCCGAGCAAGGCACAAAGTCTTTGTCCACCGACTCACAGACCGCACCTCGACACTCTTCAATAGCAAATACTCATGCACATCGTCCACATCAGACTTGTTCTCGCAGAAGATAAGCACCTCAGCTGATCATCTGAAGTGCCCGCAGACCCACACTCGGCCATAGGTCGCAGCAGCAAAATAGCTGAGGCAGCCAAAGCTGCTGGAGGTGGCGTCTTCTGCAAACACTTCAGGAGGTACACTAGCTTTGCCTCCTGCTTGACGTACCTGAGTGACGAGGTCACTTGTAAATGGCACCCATTGCTTGTCAAAGCTTATGACAGCCTCTGCCTCCGAGATCAAGCAAGGCGCTCCACCTCTTGAATAACATCCAAGTTGGCAGCGCCAGCGCGACCCACGTTAATCACAACCTGAGCTTCTCCGTTGCCGACGTCATGTCGTCATGTGCCAGATGCTGTGTTGCTGGAGCCAAGCCCGGTTCTGAAGCAGGGCTTGGCCTTGGAAAGTGCCCAGCAACATCGGCATTTTAGCATTCAAGGCGAGCGACAGCATCCACTAGCGCTGTTTTGGCGAAGTCCTGCAAGATCTACGTTCCGCATTCTCTCCCCCTCTCATCACTTGAAGGGACAGCCAAGTAGGCCTGGATCTTCTTTGGCATGGTCGCGCTGAAAAGAAGAGTCTGCCTCTGACCTGCAGGATAAAAAGCACCGTTTAAGGCTCTCCCCACCCTTTGTGGCTGCGGTTGCGTGAGCCTCTATAGTGGTCCAAGGTGTTCCTGATCTCCTCCTCGAAGCCCAAGTCGATCATGCGATCCGCCTCGTCCAGGACTAGGACTTGGCACCTACAGGTCATCGCAGGTCGCAGGCTCCAACCAAGGAGTGTAGCGGTTCAGAGGCCCTTGAGGCCCATGAGAGGCCCATGAGGCCCCGGCTGTGCCAAGGACATTCGCTTCTTGCTTAAGAGGTCATTCAAGCGGCCTGGCGTCGCCTTAGCTTGCAAGTCAAAACCCCGCCCCCCCTCCGTATCTCTCCGCTGTGTTCGTGCGCAACCTGGTTCAGCCAAGGAACAACAACCATGTGACAGCCCTTCTTAATGGCTTGTGCCTGCGTTCCAGTACTGAGGCCACCAATGGTCAGAACCTCAGATGTCCAAGCGGTAGCAGTAGCGCTAGAGCTTCCTCTGTCACTCAATGCAATGCAAGCAGCCGATCTAAGTTTGGGAAAATCCTTATGGTACTCGGCCAGGTGGTCGGTGTAGAACTCCAGCACCTGCACGAAGCTGCACATGCAGGCGAATCTGGGTAGCGAACTGGTGGGTAGAAGCTCAGCTTGAGATAACGGGCATCGGCGTCTTCGCATACGACTGCATAGCTGACGACAAACGAGGACTGCCACAGGTCTGCGATCCTGAACTGCTCTATGATGGTGGACTGCTGCGCTCCGCGCTGACTCCATCCCCGTCCCGGAGGCTAGCAGGAAGTAGCTGCAATAGTAACGAGCGCATGAGAGCCAAACAGTTTAGAACCTGAAGAACAAGCTGTCGCCGAGTGCTTCTCAACGCCTCGTACGTCTGCTGCGCCAGCTCGCGAGAGGGCGCAATGATGAGCCCGAAGGGACCTTCGGTAGGTTGCACCTCGGGATGAGCGTCAAACCATGTCAGGCCCTTGTGGCCTTCAATCACAAAAAGCGGTGAGGCCCTAACACGAGCTCGTAGCTCCTGTTCCAGTGCGCACATTATCATGGGCAAGCCAAACCTGAGAGTGTGGGGAGCCAATTGGTCCGCTGCCAAGAATCACCAAAGTCTTCAACGCAAACCAGGGCCGAAGCACAAGGGTTTTGCCGCTTCCAGTGAAGGCAATTCCTCAGAGCGTAGCACCGACCATCCTGTATTGGATTGTTGCAGAAAGTCCCTTTCTGCTCAGCGGCGGTGGCCTACGACGCCTACGGCAGCCACGGGTAGAGCTGAATCATGTTTATGGTTCAGCTGTCTATTCTGGTCCAACCAAGCTTCCAATGATGTCACGACCCATCAGTCCAGCTGGAATGCCTTGCCTTGGAGCACGTCCCCAAGATCCGCACTGCAGGTGGAAGCTGCAAGGTTCTTGCGGCCGGAACAGTTCTGAGAAGCGGCAATAGGCATGCTAGATGCACAGAACCCTTAATCGCAGCTCAGCAGCATCTGGATTTGAGTTGGCCTGATGATGCCTTTGGCCTTCAATCCTGCCCCAGAACAGAACTTTCTGACCTGCAGCCCCAGATGGTGAACTTCCCGAAGATCACTGGCCTTCGAGAATGCCTCGTGGAAGACGCATCTCCTGACATCTACGAGCGATCCTAGAAAGCGAGCTAAGGGTGTGCGTTTGCGTGGATCTAAGTTAGGATGAAGACACCTCGAAGCGCTTGATGGGTGCTGGAATGTCGCTCCCGTTCACCTGCAACTGAGAGGGCAACCTTCCATTCCAACGCAGCAAATGCGGCCCCTATCATTGCCTCAATGAAATACTTCTCGCGGACCGAAACTCTCTCTGCTTCTGGCATGTCGCCTCAGTCATGGCCAACTTCAGTCAACAACCTCCAAATAGACGTCATCACAAAGTGCTTGGCGGTACTTCTGTATCGGCCGCCAGTCGCCAATTGCTGGCATCCTGCCATCAAAAAAGTTCGACGCACATCCCCATGGAGCACCGCAGCTGATAATGCGTTCGTGCGTCCTCTGCGTGTACAGGATGCCTTTGGCTCGTTCTCGGACCTTACGTAAAGCTGTTCGTGCAGCTATAGTGCTGCAGCGCGTCCGTTCCGCATGATGCAGTAGCCGCACTAGATACAAGTCCAATCGTCTTGACTTAGCCGTTCACGGACATCAGGGGCGTGCTCATCTGCAGCTGAACCTGCTCAAGCAGCTGGTCCTTCCAGGTCACATCTATGCCAGTCAAGACTACGGCAAGACAAAATGCAAGCACATGTGCTTATGTTTTCGTTGGCTCCTCTTCATTCCTGATGCTTTCCTTGATTGCAGCTTCGCGTGAGTCCTGGCAGGCATGGAGAAAAACCCGAAGATGATGCAACTCATGTGCAAGCCACGTGCGCCAACTTGGCTTCGTTCGGCAAATGCCTGCCTTGTTGGCCTCCTCTTCTGCTTTAAGTTTCGCTGACACAGCGAGCAAGGAGTTCGCCTCAGAACTTGCCATGTCTCTGCGCGCTAGCAGCACGAGCAAACAACTAACCTTCTCTGGGGCATGTGCAATACCACGCTTCTTCTTTTCCTCACAGTCGGGAGATGCACGAGCAAATCATCACAGATCGTCACAGCTATTTCTCAGCGTTGGCATGGTGGGCACCGAGTTTTGCCAACATGCAATGGCCCCATCTCATGACTGTGATGTCTTGCTGGTACTTGGTTTCGGCACCTACTCTGCCATCTACAGGCACAACCAGATCCGCAGACCTCCGCTAGTCTTTCACGCATAACTCTTTCAGCTTCTTCTCGTCGTTCTTTCTGCCTGCGGCCGCAGGGCAGTATCCAGTACCAACGTCCATGAACAGCGGGCGCAATCCAAGGTCCAGGCCTCATCTCTATCTTCAACAATTGTCAAGTAATTAGCATTTAGGCTCCCGTACGCCCGCACACACGTGCACACATGCGGCATGCCATGATTTGATCTCGGCAGCTCTGGGACTTTCCACAAATGATTCATGTCAATTTCGGAGAGGTCACAGCATATACAGGCCACCAGGTCACCAGGTCATGATTCCAGAAAGCATCCAGACGGTGACGGCCTGTCTGAAACAAGCTTGTCCCGCATCGCTGCCTGGCACAACATGCAGAAGATCGCATTTTGTTTGGCTCAGAAAGTCACCACCTTGCGCTTCTTGATGGGGACGTAATCTTCGTAGCCCTCATCTTCCTTGTCCAGGCATCACAAAAAATGCAAGGGATCCCGCTTCACAACCGTTTGCAAGCTCCAACCTCCAAGAAAAGGCTTGGAGGGAGAGTGATGACTCTTGTTGTATAAGTGTCTGAAAAAAGAGTGAGCAATGAGTTGACTAGATGGCATGCGCTTCGTGCCCTGAAAGCGTCCGGAAAGCGGTTGCGACGTGTCCACATCCGGGGTGGGATGGGGCACATGGGGTTCCGATTCTCGGGGCTGACGTCGTTCATCGGTCTCTGTCACATTGGATGCAGCAACCCGCATTTCAGCACCCTCTCGGGCCCGGTGTTGTCAGGGTGTTGTGCTGGCACTTGCGGAAGCCATTGTCGGTGTTGTCGGATCATCTTTGTTGCGACAGCATTGGTTCCTGGCTCGTGTGGTGTTTTGTCGGGTCTCATGCACGTCCTGCGCTCGTGATTCATGTTCCGCCTTGCGTCTTGTACCTGGGACGTCTCGTGTCGCGTCTCGAACTATGTCGCATGTCGTGCATGTTCTCACCAATGCTTCTCTTCTGATGGGAAGAAAACTGTCGAAAAAGTCGCCTTTGGCTGTAAAAGCGGGAGTCGGCACCTTTTCTTTCGCTATGTTCCTGTCAGATGCCTGTGGAAATATCCTTTGATGGAAACGCTCGAGAAAGGTGGCCTTGGCCAGACATAAGAAACAATCGGAGTTGATCGCCGGTGGTTTTTGAGGTTCGTTGCTGGTAGGAAAGTGGCTCTTTCAGACTCAGCTGGCTCGTGTCGAATGGAACCATCCCCTGGTGGCAAAACGCTCCATTCAACGGTCCATTTTGAAAAACAAGCTCTTGCGGTCTTCCTGCTCAGCTCAGCGTTATCCGAGCCTGGCTTTATGAACGTGCGGGTGAAGCTGGGGGGGTTGGTATGGAAGTCGATGCAGGGCCCGACTCGGGGAGGCCCCGCCGCCAGCACCAGCGAAAACTTCGAGTCCGGTTCACTCCAGCGCGGCCTTTTTTCGCATATACGCCGCAAAGGTAAGGTCTTCTGGAATGAGAAAAAGACCAGCAACTCCCTTCGGACAAAGGGTGGTGAAGTGCCAGTGTCTCGGAAGGACCGGAGCGGCTGAGGGCCACAAGAAGCCCGCAACGAGCGCCCTAAGCAACAGAACAAAAAAGGCAGCGAGGATGCTACCTATGTCAGACCCTCGACAGTGAGCCGGGCAACCTAGTCCAAGAGAAGAAGACCCCAACCTGAAGAGAACGAAGTCCCTGGACAACCCTGTGGATGCGGGACATAGCTCTTGAGCCACAAGTGGCATGACATCGGTAAGATGCAAAAACCTAAACTGCGAGCGCAAAAGGCAGTCGTAAGAGCAGCGCCTCTTAAACAGCAACCGGACAAGGGAACAGCCAGAAAGCGGCAAGATGCAACAATGGAAGCACGAGGACGGCGCGCAAGAGCAAAGAGCGAACATGATCAGAGCGCAGACCAAGAGCGCGGGCAATTGTGCGGAACAAGAGCGTGGGAACCCTGGCTTTGCCACCAAGAATCGTCCGGGTCAAGCTGCGGCTCAAGATCTTCCTCGTCACATTTGCGCTTGCGCCTGGCATGGCCAGACTGGAGCTTCGCTGCGCTTTTTCTGCTTTTCCCGCACTCGCCAACTCGCCGATGCTCAGCATGGCACAGTTGCTCCGCACTTACCATGCCGCCACCCTTAAGTGCCATTAAAGAATCGGCACTTTGACCGCATTGCCGGGAGCAACTGTTGACTGATTGCACTTAGTTCTGGACGTTGAGCCAGCTGGGTGGCACTGAGTGCGCCACTACGCCATCGAGCTAAACCAAACTAAGCCGAGCTAACCGCGCAAACTGAACTGAAGCCCAAACGAGGCGATTGCGAAGCACAGCAAGGCCTCCGAATGCAGCTGGAGGTGTCAACCAAAGCAGCAAAAGCAGCAAAGGGCGCCTTTTTCGTATCCTTTTTGTCAATGCGGGGTGTAGACGATGGCTGTCAATGGCTCGCTCAGGCGCTCCAGCAGCTGCTGTCCGTCTTGCCATGATATCTCGGGGGTGTTGCAGAATGATCGAATGATCTTTTTTTCTTTCTAACATTATGACTATTGTCCTTATTCTTACATATGGTCAATATGTTATTCTTTATTTGCTCTTTGCTTTTCCAAGCCTTCGCCTCCTTCTGTTGAAAACCGACTTTGAAACTAATGCACAATGAAGCAAACATGCAAGCGAGAGACCATGGCAGCAGGGATCCGCACCTCCAGAAAGGACAAAGAGTTGCTTGGGCCATGCCTTTTTGGGTAAGCCGGGTAAGCTTCCGCCTCGCTTCCGCCTCCGCGCTCTTGGTTAGGACACGTCATGACCTTCACATGCTAAGAATGGGCCTTGAAGGGTCAGCAGACATAGCCTTTTGGAACTTCTCTCAGCTAGCGACTTGCAGGCGATCGCCATGATTCTCGGAATTGATGACAATAACGCCTGCTACACCCACACGCACACACACACACAGAGACACACACGGCGGCGGCCATCTGATCACGCAAAAATGCTGCTAGTGACCAGCACCAGTTTCAGAACGATCCAGAAACTCCATCGGCCCAACATCCGCGAAAACCACTGATCTACAAGCCCAACACAAGGTCGCAGGGCCACAAAGAATTCGAAACCATCCCTTGAGATCCCTTGAGAAGTCTCGAAGGGGTGCCCAAGCACGTCACGAGAATCATTGGACCAAGCGAGAAATCTTCAGGGCCGTGTCGGGCCACATGACATTCTCCAAGCAGAAGCACTTTAGGCACTTCAGGCGTCCTGCAGCTCCTGCGAGCTGCGCCCGAAGAAGTTTCCTTCGCATCGGGCCAGAGTCTCAGCCAGTACTTCCGTAGTACTGTCTATTCTGTATTCTCTCGTGTTCAAGGAATCGCCGAGATGCTGCACGAACAGGCAACCCCCTCGAGAGATTACCAACAGCCGCCCAGCGTAGGTGGCCTTATGTGCTAGAAGCTGCGGCAAAGTTTCTTTGCTCTATCGAATCTACACAAGTCACCCTGCTTGATGCGAGCACTCTAGGATTTCAGGATCCGTGCCTCAAGTGTCTGTTGTCCACGGGATACTCGAAGGTCAGCACACGCGTTTAGCGGACTGGCCTTTGCCAATTCTCTTGCTCTGTCATCGAGCTGCAACCACAACATCTCAGAACTCGCAACCCCACTACCGGACATTGAGTTCAAGCGTTCAAGTCCGAGATTTGCAGGCAGATTATCCTTCTCTTATGGTATATTTGGACGCAGACTCTTTGGCATCAGCATGAGTCAGGGCAATCAATAAAGCTCTACTGGCATCATTGCCAGACCCTGAGCGCTCCGCTCAAGAAGCCAGGCGAACGAATCTCCAGCGCTCGCAATGCGCTTGCGCTGGTGCAAAAGAGCGCGACGCAACTCTTTGTTGCATCAGGAAGCAATTCGGGAAAGCATGAGCTACGACCAAAATTTATAGAACCATAGAACCATAGCGAACAAAAGCCCCCTCCAGAGCGACTCCCGAGCTGCCAAGATCTGCCAACGAGGTGTCTAAAGGTGTCTATACAAAGCCGTCCATCAGAGATGGGAGCTGGCCTTTGCTCGGCCCTAGCCAAGCTTGTCCAAGACTTAGACCATACAGGTCAGGTCACTGTTTAGATTCTTTGCATTGCCGTCCAGCCACTGTTGCAACCGGAGAAGGACCGCCTCAGCTGAAAAAAAGAGAGAACAAACTATACATGTCTATACTTTCTATGCACAGTGCGCAAACCCAGGGAGAAGTCTGCAGTAAGGCTCCGCTGTCCAAGGCGCAAAGGTCCTCTATGTCTGCCACCACGGGTGGGTGAATTAGAGATTCTTGCCGAGCCCTCGGATGCAGCTTTCTTCCGCAGAACAAGCACTGATGCGCACTGGTCACCCGTCAAATATAAAGTACGATCTGACAACTCAGTTTGCAACATAAACCAGGATGACTTTACAGGATCCAGCCCCTTCTCCGTGAACATCCCTGAACGAGAGCTGCGCAAGGTTCAGGCCACAATCAAGCTAAATCCGACACTTCCGGCACGAAGGAATTTCCCAGAAGTCCTGCGAGTTCCTGGATCCTCAACGCTCACGATGATGAATGCAATATTGGACAGGGCTGACATCAGCCAAAGTTCGCGGGGAGCCCGGATTCTGTACAAGCCTCAGTGCGCCGAAGCGTTTTCTTACAAATCAGAATGCTGCAGCTTCCAATGCTGAAGCTCAGTGTGCAACCCAGTTTGGCTTCCACCGTAGAAGGGTACCTTGGATAGTTCTGGATGAAGGTCTGCAAGCAAACCTTCTGTCGAAAAGCCTTGCAACCTGGGCCAGCGACACCCACCAGCAGCCAAGTGCATCCAAGCTGCTCTACGGGCATGCAATGTGACGTGTGGTCCAATAAGCGATGGCATCTGTGGCTGCCAGGCTGGAGAAATGTAATAGCGTGCGACACAGTGCATCAGATTACTTCAGGCAACCACCCTGGCGGTAGCTGTTCAGGCACGGTGTGAAAAGATGTTTGCCGAAGGTCTATGGACCTCTTTCCGCTTGCGCAGTGAAGCAGATAGGCTGATAGCTTTGTTTATGTCCTTCTTCCATGCCAACAGCACAAGCAGAACACGGGACTGCGCTGAAAGCAGTGGCTGCCCAGATCACGTCTACACGCCTGCACAGGCAGCAGGCCAGCAGGCGCCCCCGCTGCTGGAGTCTAGATGTTTGCAACTCTAAGCTGTTATCTGAACAGGAACGGAATGTTTTACAATCCCAACGCCCAAGAGCCGCACTTGCCTAGTCCGATATTAAGGGGGGCATTGTCACCTGCTGGACCGGAATCAGCCCCGCTCAATGTATAAGCACGTCACCTGTACAATGTTTCTGCCTGAGCGGCAAGTCAGGGCAAGTCGAGATTCATCCACATCGATACATTGTATTCGACAACTACATTGTAACTACATAGTTACATACTCGGACGCATTTTGTTTTCAAGGTGCATGTTGCAGAAGTCGGGGTTAGGGTTGTATTTTCAATTCGCGGGAGCTTTTTCCCCTTACGGGGTCGGTTTATGTTGCAGATGTCTTCCTTAACGATTGAGCAGGCAAACAAAGATGCTCGCGTGCACGTCGACTGCCTGGTATCCAACCGGTGGATCATTACACGTAAGTGAACAAATTTGACAAAGGAGAACAGAAAAGCGTCGGATATCTTCGCGCATGTCGGTGGCATGAAATCCTGGGGCGGAAAGCCGGGGAAGAGCGAGGCTCTCGCTGGAATAGTTTCGGGTCGCCGGTTGGCTCGCAACTGTAGCTGTAAGTGACACTGTAAGAGCACCGAAAACTCCGAGAAACTGCCCAAGCGGCAATTCTCTGTCAGCACCACCTTCAGTTTCCGCTGACAATGTCCACGCCAACAGTCAGGGAGCCGTCCAGGCCTCAGAAGCGCAGAAAAAGCACACGACTGGCTGCTTCGCACACGAGAGAATGTACAACATGTAAGAAGCGAGCAAAAGAAGTGTTTTGCAAAATGAACTTTTGCAGCCTTGGGGCTGTTTGTCTCGAGTCGCCAGTCTTTGCGAAGCTCACAGATCAAGCAGGTGCTTTGTCCAGGGTGGGCCGTGATTGGTCCCAACTGTTCCTCGGCATGGTGGGCTTGGCCACACGGCTCATCGCCGCATCGCGTTCAGATGCTACCAGTCATGGAAGTAACGGGATCTAGCGGGATCTGACGTGTCTATAGTGGCCGTGGATCCCCGGCGAGGTTGAAGAGCAGCGTCATGGGCTCGCCGCCTGTGAAATCTCCTAGCGCACATGCGAGACAGAAGCGGAAAGAGATGAAATGGCAGAAGTGGATGCATTCCAATTTTTCTAGCACGAGTCCTGAAAACTTCAAGTGCAGTGCCCCATACTGGGGTGCGCGATCCACCGCCTTCTTGCCCTTGTGCAAGCACGTGCAAGCACACACACACACACACACACACACACACTGACACTGACACACTGCACATGTGCGACAGTGAGCTTTGACCATACAGGGCCTTCTTGACCGTTTTCTTTGCCTTGCATGCAATCAAGGAAGTCAAGTCTTGCCTCTGAGCACTTGGTGTCATCTTGCGCTTCTGAAGCAACACGAGGGTTGCCCGTCATTAGACGAAGTAATGGGGCAACACATGCTCTTTAGTCGAGCTGCTGCCCTCTTCCAATCGACCAGCCATCGCCTGGGGCTACAGCGACATCACGAGTTCCAGCTTTGCGCATACAAACCCCGTCATCATGTGTGTCTCCCTTGCAAACCTTGTCGCATCGTGATTCGCGTTTCCAAAAACAAAACCCATGCAATGTGTTCCGCAAAGAAGGCTGCTCGGTGCAACACCTTATGTTTAGGGAGTGCCTCAGGGTGGCAAACCTGCATGCAATCGTGCGTGGGTTTTTTGCGCTTCCCACGTGTCACTTCTTGCAGTTTCTGCTTTCTTCCCTGCGCTACTTCCAGCCATGTCCTTGCCGAGACACTCTCCTGGACTGAAGAGGAGGCGGAGACCCTCCAAGCCACCAGCAGCAAACGATGGGGACACCAAAGCAGACCCACAGCTCACACGTAGCTTCGCCTGGAGGCCACAAGCTGCGGACCACACGTTTGGGTGCAGCTTGTTCAACATCGAATTAGGACCAGGGGCCCAACGAAGACAGATTTTGCTGTAGGTTTCTTTTGTCGTGCCGCGGCGTGGCCACGGGCCGCTCTATGTGCACAAGGGTCCATATCCGTAAGCGGCCTCTTTGTCACAAACCCCCTACACCCTAAACGGGGTAACGCGTGCCAGTGCGGCCCCGCGCGTTTTGCACGCGTCTTACTGCATGTCGGACGCAGGAAAACGCCGAAAACTCGAGGTTTTTGCGCGTCGCATCCGCGGGACGCATTTTGACTATGGTCAAAATCACCACTGGCACCATGGGTTCGGTGCTCGTGAGCGCGAAAACACTGCGCACAGCGATGTTTTCGAGACGCGCGCATGGCACCCCAAAAAGTGCTTGCTTTTCGAACGCTGTTTTCGCACGAAAACACTGCGCACAGCGTTCTTGCGCTTATGTTGTACTAAGAGGCAAAAATGTGTACAGAGAGGCAAACACGCTTCGCCAAAGGCAGAAGTGTTTGTGACCGCGTGTCTTCTTCCATAATATGTTGTATAGAGAAGCAACAATGCTGTAAATACCAGTGTTTTGGGCATTGTCGCCAAGGGCACGAACGCTTGTGACCTCGTGTCTTGTTCCAGAAACGTCAAACATCCCTTGGCAAAAACACTGTAAATACCGATGTTTTGGGCACCCCCACCCCCCCTCTCCCAACCCCAACCCCACCCCCCCCAAAAGGTCGAAAAACCCGGAAACCTGCCGAAACCTTCGGGGCCGTAATGGAGCGCGTTAGCCTAAACGGAGATGTTGGATGACAAAGCCATACACATCCATACACCTGAAGAGGAAAGGCCGCAAGCCCGGAACCTTAGAAAGGAATGTTGAACCTCAAAAAAACAATGTTGCGAGGCAAAAGGAGACGCTGTGAGCGTCAAGCTATGTCAAGCTCTGAATTCTAAGAAGAGATGTCGTCAGTGGAAGGAGGGTTGGCGCCCCACGCGCCGGTGGAGACATACCTAAGGCATACCTATATATACATAGTTATACGGGATCTGCTAAGCTGACCTCAGCATATCTAAACTTCAAGTTCTCTCGCGCCTGTGGGTTGGCAATGTGCCACGTTACCTGCGTGACGCTGCTCCCCAGAGTGTTGCTTGTGGTAACCAGCAACCCTTTCTGAAGATCGGCCTCCTGGCAAAAAGAAAGGACACTAGGCATCACTCTGGATGTCACAAGTCACATAAAGAAGCATCGCGCACGTGACCCCTTCTCAGCCTTGTCGCTGTCCGGCAGGTCATACGACGGCGTTGTCGGAGGGGATACGATCATGCTCTCCAAGCCCGGCGGAGCACAAACATCAAGAAGTTCTTCTAAACCCGGAGGGGCAGACACCTGCGCTCAGGCGTGAAGGACCACCGAGGCTGCATGAGACATAGTGTTTTAAAATGTTATAAATCTGCTATCTGTAGCAAGGCCAAGCACTACTGCGGTTGTTCTTCAAGCTGTTGGTGCGCGGGTTTTTCTCAGACCTACAGTTCTTGTGTGGGCAAGCTTCGCTTCGGGTGCCTTCGCTGCCTGTGATCGCTTGCGTTCGGGATACGTGTTCTGACAGAGTACAGAGACTTGGCTTCTCAAAAGAGCACGGCCCGGTTCACCTTTGACGAGAGCGTTGATCCACATGACCATGCTGGGGACGTCTTCGAGGAAATCGTCGGCGAGCCTCGTGCAGTCGCAACATCGGCGAGCATGTGGGAATGCGGCATGCGGCATGGCTGAACACTGAACCTTAGCACACATCTTCGCCACACAGCCCTAATCAATGGCCAGGCAGAAAACCACCAGCTGAAGATCTTGGTGACAAAGTCTCCGGTGTAGCCAACTTCATCGGTTCCATCTTCCTCGGCAGCTCTTCAGCACATCTGAACCTTCGCGGGTTGAGGACTGGACAAGCAGCTCCCGCCTGACCAGAGAAGGGACATCTGGATCGCAGGTGCGCCTGCTGTTCGGAAGCTCCCTGCGGTCAGCGCAGTTGCCAAGTTGTCCGGGTCATACTCTTAACCATTAACTGCTACGAAGCATAACATTGAGCAAGGCTGAGAAGGTCTGAAAGGCCGAGTGGACAGCACTTCTTGTCAAAGCTTCGCGTCCTTGTCTGGCTCAAGGCATCTCCATCTCCCACCCTTGCCAGCTCCTTGCAAAATCTGAGCCATGACTTTTTCACTCATGAACAACTGTCAACAAATGGGCCGCACGCAGTCGTAGCGGGTCCTGCTTCATATCACTGATCATAGCAGCTTGAAGCGCTGCCAACTGCTGCAGGCGAAGATTCTCCATCTGCAGGACAGCGATGCGATTTGGCTCCCTACAAGTATGGTACGCTGTCGCCGGGCCGCCGGGTTTACATTTTGTTCGGGGCGGTTGCCAATGGCTGAAGCCCAAGTTTAAGGCCCCCTTCGCTGACACACCTGCTTTAGCTTTAGGACGTACTTCCAGCAATCGTGTCTCAAGCTGTAGCCGTGAAAGCAGAAACGAGAGAGAACAGGTCTCCTTCACCACATTCAGGAACTCAAGGTTCTCATCTTATCCACGGGGCGTCACAGGGCTGCCAGTCAGGTTTAAATGTCCACACCGCTCCTCGCTGCAAATTCTAGGGTTGCTTGTTGCAAGTCTACCTGAAATCAGGCAGAAAAAACGTCATCGACGCGTGGGAAGACCTGGCGCCGGAATGGGCGTTGGAATGTGCGTCGGACCGAGCAAGGCCCACAACAGAAGGCTCTCCACTTGCAGGAGCCAGAAACTGTTCAAAAAAACCTCGACCATTGAATTCATTGAAGGTCTGTTTTGTTTTGCATTTTTTTGGTTCACACTGCACATTCAAAGGTGCTGTTGCTCCTGTCTCAGCTAACTGAACGGGGTGTGTAGGGCCTGGCGACTTTTGCTGGCTTACGAAAATCGTCCAAGTTCCGGATGTCAACCGCCACTGCCTTTTCGGCCTTTTGCTGACCGCTTGTGATAGCGTTCCAAGCGCAGTCCACAAGCACAACGGAGTTCAGCTTTGATCGTGGTCTACGGTGTTAGCAACCCAACCCAATTGGCGTTTGCGGTCAGATCACGACGTCTTTGTGATGATGGGAGACTGGCCCAGCTGGATGTTAAGTAAGACTCAGAAGGCGTTTTTCAGGGACCGCATGTGGCTACCACTGGCAGCATACTCGGGTTACAACGCATGGCCTGCATAACGGCAGCCCAAGACGGTTGCATGCCCTGCCACTGCATGGCGACTCACACGAGCTAAAGAGCTAAAGGTGGGTAAAACTGCGCTGCGAGTGCTTGAGCCTGGTCGAAGCATCGAAGCGTCGAAGACAACATCATGCAACATTCGAGAGCCTGCTTTGGCAAGGTTCTGTACTCCATCCCACCAAGCCATGGGCCGCAACCAGCCCACGAGTCGCAAACAAACGCCGAAGCGATTCAAATCGATGTGGCGAACTGCTGAAATGAGGCCTTGAAGTCTCGAAGCTGAGCAAAGCCGAAAGGAATCCAAGGCGTTAAGCAGCAGCATGATGCCAAATTGAACAGAAGTCAGGACTGGGAACCCGGCATTCGCCCCGGACTCTGCTCCAGATCCAATCTCAGCAATGCTAAGGTGTGCTGCAACGGTGAGTGCGGGCCATGTTGGCCGTCACCTGAAGAGCAGCGGAAAACAACAGCACCCCTCGTTCCCTATTGACCAGGGAGGCAACTTATAAACAGGCCAAATCCCGCTATTATATAGAGGAACGGCACCTGGATCAAAACCCAAGACCACCTTTTTAAAAATTTTCAAGCCTGCTCTACCAACGACCACCAAAGCGGCAGCTGCTTTACTAGTGATGCCCACTGCAAGAAACAGCTTTGAGCCACCGGTTTGGGACGTGATGTCGGCGTTGCCGTCCTGGCACGAGCTTGCCCAAGCGCGTCTGGATGGTTTAACCTTCTTTGTGGCTGCAGTCCTGGAGTTGGGCATGCAGTAGAGGCAGCACCTCACATGAGGATGTCGTGCCGGAAGCACGTGCAAACTTTGTCAGATGCCGAGGCTTCGACTGGCACAGGCCGCCCAAGGGAGGAAGCCAAACCAGAAACATGCATCACGGGCTGCAAGGTGTCGCCAGCTGACCACACCAGCAGAAAGACCTTCAGCCCAGCCCAATTGGGAAGGGGTTTGTGCTGGGTGCAGGCAACTGCTGCGGATCAAGCTGCTGTTTGTGAGCGACACCGTCGTGAGGTCTCAGCATTCATCTGCATCTGGTAGCCTGCGCTCGGAGGGAGCTCTCTCGAAAGAACATGATACGAACAACACGCTAACATGCTACATGTCTCTTCGTATAAATTAGTATTTTGGCTCACTTTACATCTCATCTTCTGGGGCGGTTACAATAAGCTTGGAAACAGATCAAAGGCCCAGCTGAACAAGGGCCAAGCGAATGATGACACCCAAAAGTACCTTTAAATCCAATAACATGCAGTCCTTTACAAGCCCGATCACATGTTCCAGCCTAGTCAACGTTTAGTGTGCGGTTTCATGCGTTTGCCGCCACGTGCGCGTACGCCCGTCTGCGGCCGAGGCACTCGGTGTCAGCAAGTACTTCGTTCGGCAACGCTGCTGAACCGCAACTCGCTCGAACGGCGTTAAAGCCTCACGCGTTTTCTCTACACTCCGCAAATCGAAAACAAAACAAGTAAAACCGACAGCACCTCGCAAGTGAGCAGTGGAGAGTCCAACGAAGCTGCAGGGTAAAGGTCCTGCAGCCAGATCCAACATAGCTGTGCTCTGGTTACTGCAGGCATCGGCTGCAGTGATTGCCAGGAGCAGTCCTTGTTGCGTTCGTCCGTGGTTGCTGAGAGATGCGTTGAGTCCGAAGCTTTCGGGAAAATCGGGAACAAATGGCCTCGCAAAGAATGCTTGGGCTTGTGCTACAGCGCGGCATGAGAGAAACCAAACCACACAGTCAAAGTGAACCTTCGGTGGTGAAGATGCTGGCGCCCACCGGCCATGGCATGGCATGGGCCAGGTCCTGGACTCACTTCGTCTTTTGTAAACCAGTCAACCACCATGCGCACCCTACAAATGCTGCCAGTCGGCTTCTGGCGGTGCCAAAGCCAAGTACAGGTATACAAGCGTCTCTGACAGGAAGAAGGAGTCCATTCTGTCATCAAGCCTGCCCATGATCAATACATGCAACTCCTCGACTTCGCACTGGACCTCACTCTTTCTGCCAAGTTTTCTGCCGCAGCCTCTTGGTCGTTACGTCGGCGACAGAAGCAAACCCACAGTTCACCCGACTCTGGTCATCGATTGCCGCGGCAATGTTCTTTGCCTCAGGTGTTCACGTCCCTGTCAAGTTGTCAAGCCCGTTAAAACGACCAATCCCTTCTTGCTGCTTGGCCAAGTCGCCATGTCAAAAATCATGGAGTCACCCGGCAAGGCTAAGGATAAATAAAAAATTGCTTCGATGAGCTCCGGTCGCAGAGGTGAGTCCCTGCCCAATCAAGTGCAAGTCAGTGACAAAACCACGATTGACTCCCAAGCAAAACGGTGAAGATGTTGTTTGGAACCTTGTTCGCCCTCGTTGTTCTATTAACGCTCAAAAAAGCGGAGCCCTCCGCTTTTTGAAGCAAGCATGCAGAGCTTAAACCGACCGGGAAGCTGTGGGCAGGCGAGCAACCACCCCTTTCACCACTTGCAAAAGTACTGGTCGCAGGACGTGCATTTAAAGGCTTCACAATATGTGTTCTGGAATGACTTTGATTTCATGCGCCCCCTGCCTCGCTTGGGTTGGGCTTTCTGCCCTGGTGTCGAACACCTCGGGCAAAGCGTCGTGCTTCTTCCACAAACCATACCTCACGGTCAGCCCAAATAGCCATTGGGCAGGTAAAGCGGGAACAGTGAGGAGCAGCAGGCCAAACGATGATACGTGCCAGCCAAGGCTCCAGTACAACACCGACCGCAAACCACTGGAGACATCTCCAACCAGAACTTGCAATGATGCCCACACGCACGCCAAGGGCGACAAATGCGTATTCGCCATCAGCCCTTTGTTCATGTCCTTTGTCATGGTTTCAGCAAAGCATCGCATACAACGCGCAAGCAAAACATCACGAACCATGAAAAAGTTGCTGATGCGGGCCCAGCACAACGTTGTACGTGAACCCTTCGAAACTGTGGTACAACTCGACCTCGCGAGACGTCCGAACAATAAGAGACAAGCTAGCTGCCTCAATGGCGTTTGTCTTGGAAAGCCCATCTTACGGCACTGTGCATGACATGGGGCTGTCTCACAGTGCAACAGAATTCAACACAAGGAAACTGCAACCCAGGTGCAGACGCATATGCGCTTAGGAAAATCTCCAACAACTCCAGGTCATGAAAAAGGATGTAGCCCTTGAGCAAATATTCGAAAAAGGAATCTTGCCTTCAGAATTCAGAATGCAGGACGCTTCCGCGAGAACGTTGGTGGCACAAAGCGTTGGTAAGGTCGGCACCCTGGACCTGTCGTGCTCTGTTGATCAACAAAATTACCAGTGTTAACCTGGCACGCACGATCATGCTAGACGCGTCATTGCAAAAAAAACGGGTTCCGCTTGCCACGTATTTGGTAAGGCGCGCACATCGATTGATGTGCCAACCAAATCCAAGATGTTCCGCCGGCCTGCAGCTTCTTCTGGCGTCCGCTATTCGCGGTGCACATGCAACACAACCTCAACGCTGCTGGCCAAGCCGCCCCAGAAGGCCAGCAAAGACCGCTTTGCTGCTTTGTAAAACCGGTCTTGCCCAGAAAGGTGCGAGAGCATGCCGAACTCCAGCAAGAAGGATCCCGCCTAGGCCAATGTGAATGCAAACATGCACACCCGGCTTCGTTGATAAGCCTGGCCTCTGCAATTGTGACCGTGGCCGAGGAGCCCTATGCAAAACAACAAATTCTCAGGACTTCGTTTGTTTTGCCTGCAGTTGGCAGCAACATGCCTGCCTTGGGGATCCCTTTTGCAAGGTTCACCCGCGATCTCGGCATTCCCGTTGGCGTATCGAAGGCCCGCATCAAACGCTCGCCCAAGTCCAACGCCTGCAACAACAGCACTGCGTGTTGCAGGTTTGCGTCATGAACAAAGGGAACAAAAGCACCTGACTTTCGCTATGCACCATACAACAGATGATAATGTTGGACACTGTTGCTTTTGCGCCCCAAATCAATGAGCTTGCTCGATGACTCAGGGCCAAGAAAATTGCGATCAAGCGTTCACCGAGGGGAGAGGGGGGTTGGGGTGGGGGGGTGGAACGAAGGAGTGCTGTGCCCCATGTGTGACCTGATACAAGTCGGGCACCGCTCGCCCCGACCAGCGCGGCCGCAAGACCGGCGTGGGCACAGAGCAACTGTTGCGCGCCGCCAGCTATCACTCTGCGTACGTGATGCGCTTGCGCCGCTGCCGCTGTGCGACCTGCAGGCGATCGTCAGCGGTACAGTGCGATGAGGCGCTGCACTAAACGCTGGGATTCGTCGTTCCAGCGGCCAGAACGCACAAGCGATGCGGGGGCCCGGGGGTGAGCTCGGGGCACCGTGCGAGCTTGCGTCGCTGCGACACCGCCAGTGCGGCGCCGTCCCTCTCGGGCGCTCCAGCTTAGGGGCTGCCATCGCATCGCACGGGCGAGACTAGGGTTGCGTCGCAGCACATAGCCTCGCCACGCGGGGCAGCGCCGTATATGACGAAGTCGAGCCTGCGGCGATCATCGGCGGCTACCCCATATTGGCCAGCCACTGCTGTGGCACCACTCTGGCGCGGCGTCGTTGCGGGGTCAGCAGGGATGGCGGCGAACCATGCCCCTGCATGTGGACATGCCTGGGAACGCAGCAGCGCTAGGTCGCTGGGCCGAATGGCTGGGAGCAAGACCCGCTCTTGGAAAGAAGTGTGGAGTGCGAAAGCAGCATCCCTTGGCCAACCACTCGCCCAGACGCCGGGCTCACCACGAACCTCTTGCGGCGGCGCTGGACACGCCTCCCATCCGGGCCGGTGTCCCCATCCTTGCTCGTCGAGGTGGATGCCTGCAGCCGCGGCAGCCTGGAGGCTTGGCGCCGCAGCCTGGTTACCGGCCTCGAGCTTTTGCAGGCAACGCCCGACCGCTTCGGGACACCGCTGTTGCAGCAAGTTGCAGCACAGGCAGTGCGTCCGCCCATTCCGCCCAGTAGGCTGCAGGCGAGATGCGTTCCGCATGCAAAAGGCCCAGACCGCCAAGGGAGGCTGGAAGGAAGGCAATGTCCCGGGCTGGATGCTGCGCAGCCCCAGCATCAGCCTCTCGGCCGCCCAGCATGTCTTGCATCGTCTGCCAGACCGCATTGTCATGCGCACGTGCGTACTCGGCGATCGCAGCCGGAGGAACAGTGCGCAGCAGGTGTTGAGCGCGGGAGCTGCACAAAAAAGGAGCAGCAGCCAGGCACACTGCAGGTCCGGGAGCTGAGGCAATTGGAGCAGCAGGCGGCGCTCCTCTTCGAGGCCACTGGCGCATGACCGAAAAAAAAATGAATTCCCGGTGGCCAATGGGCACTCCCAAAGCAACGAACCCGCGTCGTGCGTTTTTTTTTTTTTTTTTTTTTTCGCGCGCCTTTTGTTCCGTCAGCCAGGAAGTGTTCCCGCTCCTACGCCGCGCGCAAAGGGAAAAGGGGGCGCAGTGCCGGCTCGGCAAGCTCGACAACTTCGCTGAGCGTCGGCTGCCCATGGCCGCCCGTCTGCGCTGGTGCGCGCCAGATGCCGCCCAGCAGCGTGGACGCTAGCGGCGCTGCTGCGGGCAGCCGCGTTGTGCGTGGGGCTTGTCGCCGCGCCATACGTCCTCACCGATGCACATAGAGCAGGAATGGTGTGCATCTCTCACCTGACGATTTTCTTGTATGTTTATTTTCTGTTTGTATCTAGCGTTGTCTTTGTGTGTTTGTTTCTTCCATCAGATGAAAGCCGCCACAGTGCACACTTCTGACAATCCGACAAGCAGTTTTGCAGAGCCCCGACACCTGTATTTTCGACTCTTTGATTGGTTCTTCGGCACTCTCTGTTTTTCTTGCAGGCCTCCGGGCCGGGGATACGCTCGTATCTTTCATCTGCAGGTCCATGGACGGGATGTTCCTGTGCCTTTCTTTCGTTCATTCAGCTCTGGTACCTCAAAGGTTGCAGACAAGTGCCGGGTGATTAAACCTGCCAACAACTCACTTCTCACGAATCCGTGCCTGGAACAAAAAGGCCAAGCCGATAATGCCCACTTTTGGCCATCGTGCTTTGTGCATGATTCCAGCATGGAATGCGAACTTCCCGATTTCAGGATAACTGACGTCGTTAGTTTACGAATGCGATGAGATTGTTGCGAGAAACGAGACAGCTGCAGGATTAACCCTTGTGGTGGGTGCCCTTGGCCTGTATACCCTGTTCCTGCTTCTGCCATGCCTGCACTATTGATTGTACTGATTTATGTCTGCCAATGTGAAGTAGGATGCTAGAGATACTAAGATCACCTTGATCTGTGATAGCATCTTCACCTGCAAACACTGTCATAGGCACATTTTCCAGGGCGGATCCCCGCAACAACATGAAGATGTCACCCACCACGTTGCTGCAGCTTCAAAATCCTTCTATGCAAACGGCTGGATTTTACGTGATCGCAACGTTTCCTTGTCTAAACGATTGAAATTCTTTGATGCCGTTGTTTCGCCAGTGGCTTGTTTCGCAGCGGGACACAGAACCATTCACAAACCCGACCTGCACCGGATGGATGTTGAGTACAAAAGGTTGCTTCGTGCAGTGGTGGGACCACCTGGAAACATTTCATGGGATGACCCGTGGCATGAAACTCTTCATGCTTGGAACAACAAAGTTCGGAATGCCTGCCATGATAGCTCGTTAACAAACTGGAGGGAACAGTCATTGGCAAGTTACTGGAAATTGGCCACTCATTGCAAATTTGCCACGTGATCGATTGGTGATTCGTGTGTTGGAATGGCACCCCCGACGTGTTCAGGCTGGGAGGCAGCCTAGCAATTGGGAAGATGCACTCATGATGTATTGTCGTTGGCGTCAATTGGGAAATTGGAAGTCCGCAGCTGTTGATTCAAAATGGTGGTTACGACAAACAGATGATTTCATTCATTTCGTTACAAAGCAATGAGCCGCGCAATTAGTCGTCGCATTTGATTGTTTCACTGCCTGCGCCTTAAATGGGCCGCCTTCGGGCATCAGGCTTGACCTTGACCTTGACCTAGGCACATTTTCCATCAAGTGCGTGCAAAACTCGGCGACATCATGCTGCTCGTGTGTCAGAATGGCTTTGCATCCATGATCCTCTAAGCACGCAATTCCAGCTGTTTGACACCATATATGAAGCTCTGATAGCACTGCGGGCAACGAATGACATAAGCACTGATGCATCCAGTCAGCCCAGAAACACGGTGTTCTGAGAACAGCGGTTGTCTGGATTATCCGTGAGCGTCCTTGTGCCGTGAAAGCATAGGATGATGTCGCCTTGGCTGAACTCTTAAATTCAAGCAAAGAAGACGCTCCAGTCGCGAGTTGGACAGGTTCCCGTGTCGATAGGAATTCCTTCTGTGGAAAGCTCTCCGTCGTGGGTTTGCAAGATGTGCAACTGCATCGCGTGCTTGTGGGAGTCCACAACCTGGATGATCTTTTTGCATCGTGCTGCCAGTTCCTGAATGATAAGGCTGAACATGACCACTCGAAGGGCCCGGCCTCGCGCTCGATGGTGGCGGTGACAGCGTCCAGTCGGCCGCGGGCGCGCGACGGGGAGGTGACGACGTATATGTCGTCCAGGAAGGCTGCCAAGAATTCCCCCGCTTCTAGCTGTCGCGCTGCCGCCGCCAGCGCGTCGTGCTGGCAAAGCGCGAGCGCGGTGCGAGGGAGTCGCCCTGCTCGACCCCTTTCGGCCTGCGCGATCTCATGGCAGCGGCCGCTGTCATCCCACCACAGGTACGAGTACGTGGAGACACGCGCATACGGAGACCGGACGAAGCGCAAGATTTGCGGCGCCACCTCTTTGAGCTTGCCCATGATGGCTGCGCGGCTGACGCTGTCATATGCGCTGCGGCCATCGACTGAGACTGTCGTAGCCTCAAGGTCGAGCTCCGTGGCTGCGCGGAGCAGGGCTGCGAGGCTATCTGTCCCTGCCCGGGTACTCAGGGCGTACTGATACCGAGAAACCAACCTGCGGAAGACGTCTCCTGTAGCTATGCCCCGCACGCCCCATCCCGGCTTACGCAAGGCCGTCAGCCTTGACAGAGGGAGGGCTTCAACGATAGCTGACGGCACGTCAACCCGTGCAAAGCCGTTGACGGCGAAAGCCAGCAGCTCGAGCGCCAGGTCGTCGAGGAGCAACTTGTACTAGTAGTGGTCAACCGTGCCCCCGAAAGGCCTGGTGTGGACCCTCGCTTGGCGCTCCGGAGCGACTCCGCAACCTGTTGGACCGACAGATTGACGGCCTCGGCCGGCTCATGGTTCAACACCACTGCGGGTATCTCCCGGCGCCGATTGGATGGCCGCCGCGTTTTTTTCCGACAAGGCTTGGAGAGTCTCATCATTACCAGGGGCCAGCGCAGCCGCTGTGAGGGCTTGGCATGCCTCAGGCTTCTTCAAGGAACGCTGAATCGGTGCGGGGAAGGTTGTGTTGGCCCCTCGTAGGCGCACCCGCCCGGGTTTCTTCCAACCACGCACCCGACTCGAAGAGCTCCACACGACGCAGCAGAGCAGCTCGGCCAACTGACCCAGAATCACGGCAGCGTGTCAGGAGCAAACGCGGGGCCAGCAAGAACAGCTTCCACGCCGCTTCTCGGGCAGCGCCATCCCTCCGGCGATAAGCGATTTGCAGATCGTTGAGGCCACGGGTCAAACACCCGCGCGCCCCCGTGGTTAGGAATCGGGGTACCGTGCGCTAATGGTCGGCAACCGTTCGCGGATGGTGCAGAGCCAGGCCAGGGCTGCGCGCGGCCATGTTGGAGAAGGGCTGCCTACGGGCGGTGCCTCATCCCCAACAGCTCCAACAGTCTCGGGCATGGCGGGCCTGGCGGGCCGGTTCCGGACCAGATGCGCGCTCCTCTCCGTCCACGTGCTCATCGCGATTTTCGGAAACGTGGAGGCGCTTCCACGGCGGAAAGCGGCGCTGGCGGTGCGAGTGCGCGCCGGAACTCGTCCGAGAGGCGGTCAAGCGCGCTCGCCAACGCCGAACCGCCGTATAACATGAGACACACCTCCTGGCCTGCTGCGCTAACGTAACCGTCCGGGCGAACAATGTGGCGCACCACCCATCCTAGGTGCACCAAAGTGCTGGACGGGAGCGCGGCCGCCTCTTCGAGAGCAGCCTGGGGCAAGTCCTTTTTTTGTTTCCTCATTACGATGGCTAACGGAGTGCGGCAACCGGAACGGGGCCAAAACCGCCAGCACTCGGCGAGCCTCCTCCCACAGGGGCGAAGCGTGTGCCTCCGCGCGCCACAAGGCGAGCGCCTGATCAGTGAGCATTCACAGTGCACCAAGGAGGAGCGACACGTACAGCCACAAATATCCACAAATTGTTCTTTTTTAATTGGTTTTCTTACTTATACTATTATCGCGCAGTGATAGTATAGTACAAAATTCATGCGTGTCGCGATAATGTTATTATTAAAGGGGCTCTTCTTCGCGAGAGAACACGTTTCGTTCGTACTTTCGTGCGTTTCATGCATTCGTTCGAAAACTCACTACTTCATAAACTGCACGAAACGTACTCTCTTCACTGTTTCGTTCACATGTTCACGCGTTCATTCCATGTTTTCATTCACTTGTTCACATTGTTCTCTACACTTCATTATGCGCTCGTAAAGAGAACATAGTGAGCGCACAAATGCTGTACACAATAAATATTAAAATCGTGCACAAGTTTACATTTTAATATTATTGCTCACTTTATTCAATAGGAATTTTGGGGCGGTTTCCATCACACGGTCAATCATGAGTACTGCGGTTTCGCAGGCAAAAGGCCCAGACCGCCAAGGGAGGCTGGCAGGAAGGCAATGTCCGGGCTTGACGCTGCGCAGCCTCAGCATCAGCCGCTTGGCCGACTGCTTGGCCGCCCAGCATGTCTTGCATCATTTGCCAGACCGCATCGTCATGCGGCTATCGCAGCCGGAGGAACAGTCCGCAGCAGGTGCTGATCGTGGGGAGCCGCACAAAAAAGGAGCAGCAAAGGAGCTCGTGCAGGAGCGGGCTCCGGCCCGCCAGCACTGCACTCTTCGCCTGGAGTCCCGAACACCACCAATCGGCAGTGGCGCGCCCGCCCCAGCACGGGATATAACAAAAATTTTGCCGTTGTTTGCGGCGTGTAGCCTGGGCACACAGGCACATCCAAGTTCATGTCAGCCAGCCGCACGTTCTTGGCCACACGTGCGCCAGCCTCGCGACACACCCTGGCGAGGGTTCGCTCAAGAGGGATGGCGCGCAAGGCAAGGACACCTGCAGTGGCACACGCCGCCCGGTGGTCACCTAGCACATCAAGCGGCCGGCGGCAAGTGCACAAGCGGGAGTGGCAGGCGCAACCGGCGAAGGAGGAGGACATGGAAATGCGCACTGGGGTCTCCGCGACGACGACGAACCGTGCCCGCCGCACGCTCGCCAGCTCGGAGCTCGGGGTACGATTGGTGCCGCTGCCGCTTGCGGCGAGCGTCGGCCTGCACTGCTGCGCCAAGGCGGGTGTCGGCGCGCCAGCCCGTGACACCGGACTGAGGATAGTGGCGTCGAAAATGAACTGCGCCCCGTGCCAGAGATGTAGGCCGTTTGCGATGACTACAATGCAAAGTGCGTCGCTAACCGGAACATCGATGTTCATGTCAGCGACCCTGACGTTGCGTGCTACTCGCGCACCACCTTCCGGGTTATTCCTGCAGTAAGACGGTCGGTCTGTTCTCGGTGGAACGGACGAGCACAGTATCGAACGTCTTTCCGCGAGCGGGATTATCCGTACGGCAGAAAAATGCCGCGAAGAGTTGGGAGCCTCGCACGGAGGGAGCTTCAACCAAGGTAGGATAACGCGTCACAGCGCGTACGGTACTGCGTACAGTACTGCGTACGATACTGCGTACGGTGGCATCGGCGGTCTTCGCCGGTCATCTGACAACGGCATAGGATGCACCACCCGCCTCTGCAGCAACCGAGGCTCACGGGCGCAACAAGGCCTCCTACGGCGGTAAAAAAAGAAGCCCCAAAAACAAGATGGCAAGGCACGAGCGACTCCTGCCAAAATGCCGCTCTTGTGGACCCAGTGCGTGCGAGTGGCCAAAGCATCCATGCCCATACGATGGTGTTACCCGTGCGTGCGAGTGTCCAAAAACCAGCCAATGATTACGTCCGTGTTGCTCGTGCGCGCGAGTGGCCAGAACACCCATGCCCGCACGATGATAGCGTCGGTGTTACCAATGCGCACGCGTGGCCAAAGCATCCATGCCCGCACGATAGTTACGTCCGTGTTACCCGCGCGTGCGCGTGGCCAGAGCATCCATGCCGGCGTGATGATAACGTGCTTGTTACCCGCGCGTGCGGGTCGCACGGTGATTGCGTCCGTGTTACCAGCGCGTGCGAGTGACCACAACACATCCATGCTCGCACGATGATAACGTCCGCACGGTGATAACGTCCGCACGATGATAACGTCCGTGTTGCCCGTGCGTGCGAGTGGCCATTGCGTCCGTGTTACCAGCGCGTGTGAGTGGCCGCAGCACCCATGCCCGCACGATGTGGGGTTTGAGCTTCAAGGTTTAGGAGGTTCAGTGAAACCATCAACCCTGAAGTAACGTTTTGCGATAAGATGTAGTGAAAACCTAGGAAAAATTCTACGCAGAGGCCCTGTTTTCAGACCCCTCACAGGTGTACGCTCCAGAAAAAGCCAGGTCAAGGTCAAGGTCAAACGGATATCAACTACGCTGCGCAAAGAAGTCGAATCTGGATCCAGGTGTGTGCGCCTCTCACAACCGGCAGAATGCATCAAACTGGGCGATATCGTCTTGCCATAAAGATCGCACAGCTTCTAGGGTCCAGTGTCCTCTCCGGCCATCTGCAAAAGCTAACCTATTTCTCATCCCACATCGCTCCACAAAAGCACACCTCGACGTGTAGAAATGCGTTACAACTCGTGTTTGGGCCACACCCTTTAAAACCCTGAAAACCAGAGGCAAATCAAGAGGAGTCATTGCAGGCGCCGTTACCAAACACACAGAGAGAGAAACAAAGACGAAGAAGGAGAAACAAAAAATAGATAACGACAAAAAATAATATTCCTTGCAAAACTGTTTGTTGCTTTTGTTGCGCAAAGTCGTGGACAGGCGCGAGGTGGGGCACGGCCAAGATCAGTTTTCTGGTTTGCGCATATTTGTTTTGTAGCCGTAGTCGTCCCTTCTAGTTAACTCTAGTTGAGAATTTCCCGCTGCTTTGCACTTTTAAGGGATGCTTCCCGCGTTTGCCAGGTCCATGACGGTTCGCGCCTCCATGGTGGGGCGTTTCCCTGTGCTTCCGGTTGCACCGCAACGACAAGCGCTTAGGGGGCTTTTGGGCTGGGCCAATGCCACAACCTTTGCCTTGAGGAGGCCATCGCGGCAAGGGCTCCCACAAACAAAGGCAAAAAGGCCACGACAACCGGGGCGAGAGTCGGCGGACGTCGGCGAATGTCGGCGAAAGCGGCGGCTTCAACACTGCCAAGCGCCTGGAGTGCTGGCGAGGCAGGCCCGCGGGGCAGGTTTTGAAATCGCGCCGTGCCTTGCTCCAGCGCGACACGGCAATGGCTTCAGCAGTCGGGATGTGGTCGCAGGTGTGGCCCAGCCATGGCAAGCACCCACGACAGGATCCTCCGCCCAGTTCTTGCAATGCGCAGGCTAATCCCTACACAAATTGTTCGAGCTTTATCGGGTCCGCTTTGGACCCCGCTTCTACGGAGCTTCCATGGATTGCACGTCCGTCGTCGCAACCAAAACCCAACAACACCCCTTCGATGACATTGATAGCATCCAAAACAACGTAGTACGTATTGCGTTCTACTTGCAATACAAGGTCAGATCACTGCTGCAGTGGCAGTTACGCACGCAGTCCAGTCAGGCAAAGCATCGCCTGCCCGAGGAAACATGGTTCCGCAAACCCTTCCGGGCACACGTGCAACTTCGCGTGTCAGCTCCCGGAATGATTCTTCCACGCGTCAATAACTGCATTTACCGTGTAAGAAAAGCCGCTCTTCTGGAGCTGCCGGGGAACGCGGTTCAGTTTCGACCTTATGGCTTGGCGGCACGCGAACGTGGGCCGACGCAATTACAGCTTCGGAACCGTGGGCAAGGACGAAGGATCCACCAGGGGCTGCATGCGTTGCACAAGTCTCGATCTTGATTCGGCTCGCGGATATTTGCCAGCAAGCCTTTGTCTAGAACCGCTCTATTCTGTTGCGATCAACTGCATCTCCACGTCCAGGACACGATTGTTGCACGACCGTACAAGCCATCTGGCACAAAATCGGTTCCTGCCTTCATGAGGCTGGTAATGATTAGTTGCGCAGCGATGAAGACCGTGGCAACTACAGTATCAACTAGCCTAGATCAAGCCGTCAAAAATTCCCGCTGCGCCTTGTCCAACAGCCCTCCTGTGTACTTCGGCAAGATCTTCTGCGCGTGCAGATGGCCGCTCAGCAAACCACCCAGGATGCCTGCGGTGACCATGCTTTGAAATGAAAGCCTTTCGCTGCAACCGGACACCTCTATTTTCTCTGCAGTGTTTCTACACTTGATTCGGAAAACATTCTTTCATCCATATTTGAACGAGCAAAAGCCCAGCATCAACCTTCACTTGGCAACAACAAGTGCACCGAAGGGTTTTGGGTGCAGCAAGCCTTCGCTGCTAATCAAGGCAAACATGGCTTCGAGGGTCCTCCAACACACCTACACTTTCGTCCAAACTCACTCATTGTATGCTACTGGTTCTCAAGATTTCGGGGTTACCGGTCGGCTGCTCTCCGGCGTTTTTCTCACCCGCGGTGGCTTTCCGCATCTGGAACTCCGAGTTGCACCACTTGGACCGCCGACCTGTGCATCCCGTGGCTTGGGCCAGCCCGGCGGACGAGGCGGCGCATGCAAACATTTACGCTTAAACTACAAATTATCATGCATCTCCTCTTGTTGTTTGCAGATATGATGAAAGGACTCGTATGGGTTTGAAGGAACGGCCATTGATGGCATGGTGTTCTGTGAAGCAAGTTGGCAGCCGCATCGAGAAAAGCGATGGGAGGGAAGGGGGGGGGGGGGGGGGGGTGGCCGCAAGACACATGACGATAAAAGCGCATTTCAGAGAATTTGGGGTGCAAAAAGCAACACGCTAAACGGGCAAAACAGGAAAACAAAAAAACAAACACGAGACATGAAAAAGTGTGAAAAATGCGAAAACGCAAAAGAGATGAAGGAATTCTCGTTGTCTTTCTTTTGGCGTTTGTTGATTTTGTTCCCTGTTCTGACTGCTCTCTGGCTTAGGGCACAGGCCCCCCCCCTGCAAGCATCATTCGCGCTGATGGGCTTGGAGAAGATTCACATGGGTTTGAACGAATGTCCTTTGATGGCGTGCTTTTTAGTTCCCCCCCCCCTTCCACACCCTTGCAACACACATGCTCGTGTGTTGCAAGGGTGTGATGGGATTCCGAAGGGTTTGGGTGCCGTGAGGCCAGCAGAGCAGGGCCTGCAGGACCGAGAGAACAAAGTACCAAAAAGTGCCAAAAAGTACCGAAAAGTATATCGAAAAGCACGAAAACAAGTACCAAAAGAAGCCCTCCTCTACGAGTTACACATGCTCTGCAGGCAAGCTGCGGATGTTGACTTCAAAGGTACTCACTTCGAGATCTTTGCCGAAGTGGACATTGTCGTCAATGTACGAAACAGCCACCTACCAAAAAGCTGAACATTAATCAAATCCCCCACCACTCTACAACTCGCACTCGCTGCAACCTAGGCTGGAGAGATGCTGCACTGGACCGATGCCTTGAACGCTGTCTTTCGCTTGAAAATAACTAGGGAATCCAAAGAGTCAATCAGGGTCCTGCCGGGAGGACCAGGAATGACAAAGCTGACTTGATCGTATCCCCATCTACCACAATCTCTTGGTCATTACATGATTTGCCACCTCATCGGCCCCGACATGCCCAAACTCAGCCAGGGCTCATGGAGTAATTGCCCAACATTGCATCGAGATCACCTCGTTCGCGCCGAAGCCGGCCATCGCAAGACAAAGGTCGGAGCTCGTCAGCCGGAAAGGCATGGGACATGTACGAGTCCTGAGTGTGCAAAAGCTTTGCTTTCCGTCGCACACTTGTGTTACATTGTGCTTACTTTCTGCCGAGGATCAAAGGCATGTTTGTACATCTGCTGAACCTGAACGCATGCGCCCGCGTGACTCTTGTCACCGAGGTCTTGCCCACACAAGGGCATACAAATGCGACAGCCTGCCTTTTCTGCAGCAGCACTGCGCTCGTGCCGCGGAACTGCATCTGCTGCAACAAGCGGTATGACGAAGATGCATCGCCAGCCCATTCTCTCGGTCACACGGACGCTTGCTTTTTGAGAACGATGCGCGTCAGCGTTTGCTAGCAGAAGCGTGTCAAGAGCAAGTTGTCAACGGCCTTCGCCGTGTAGTGTAGTCCTTTTGATCAGTCTTTGCGTGCTTGTCAATTTGTCATGTAATGTCATGTAACAGGTGGTGCAGCCAATGGCTACGAACAGAGACTTCCAAGACTTCAGCCTGCACAAAGAAACAGTCCAAACTTCTGCGAACCCAATCAGCCGAGCGTAGCTCTAGACAGGCAGGATCGTAGCCTCGACTGAGGCTCTGCTGAAGCTGTGCATGGTGAACATTGTTGAACTGCCATAAGGCCCTAATATGGCAGGTTCAGGCCCAGGCCTTTGATTTTCCATTCCAGGCGATGCCTCTTCGGTTGAACACTGTCTGTGGTCAAGGCACTGCGCTGGTGGCAGACTGCCTTCTCCCCGCAAACTTCGAACACTTCCAAAAACAACAATGAAGAACGCTGACAACTTCCATCGCATGCCGCTTGCACAGGGAGGAGAGAGTTTGTGAACGCTATCTGCTCCATCTGCTTTTCATCTTGCACTGCGCAGTGCTGCGCAAAAAGGAAATCACACCAGCATCTACGGCCGAGCTGTGCTCTAGCTGAAGCCCACCGTCGGGCTAAAGCCCACTGTGGGGCTAGGGCCCACGGTGGGGCCAGGGCCCACTGTGGGGCTAGGGCCCACCACAGGGCTCTGACCCACCACAGGGCTTTGACCCACCACAGGGCTAAAGCCTACCACAGGGCTTGGACCCGCTGCAGGGCTTTGATGGCTTTGCGCAGCTTGGAGGCCAGGAAGACTCCACTGCTCGCCATGGAACTGGCCAGACTGCTCATCCGTGGCCGCAGGCCACAAGCGTGCCTGACAGTTCCCCTCCTACTACACCCTGGCATGCCATGGACGAATCATGCCGGACGAGTACGATGCGCAACAGCAGCTGGTTCGCGATTGAGCTACATGAGCACTTCTGATGCCTCTTCCAATGTGCAGACGCTCTGCCGTTCAATCATGCGTTTACCATGAACTTATCAGAAACCCATGTGCAAAACACTTTCGACTGAGCGGCTACCGCCAGGACGCATGACAGAATGAGCAGCACATCCGCTCCCGGCTCTGCCTGATGTGATTCCACAGTTTAGAGAAACAGCAGCAAAACATAGCATGCAATGCAAATGCATGAAAAAAAGCACAACAAATCCCTGCGCGCCTGCAACTGCCATTCGTTGCTTTGGGCGTACCGACCTGCAGATTTGACCAGAAGCACCCAACAAATCTTCTCATGGCAAAAAGGCGGCTCTCATGGAGCTGCTTCTTTGTAGCTGCACAGCTCTGCCTCCAATGGCCAATCTTCGACCATCCCTGGGGTTTGTTGCTTCTACCTCCAACGTCTCGAGGGAAGCTACCTGGCAAATTCTGACACAAGGTCTGACCAAGTAGAACATGTAGAACAACACATTCATTCCTACACATTCCTACACATTCCTCAACCCTGCCATCGCCCTGCAGTCGCCCTATGATCGTTCAGTGGCCTCTAACCGAAGGATGGGCAGGTTCTTGTGCTTGACAATGACACACTTTTGCATTCGTGTTGGGCCGGGCTCCATGGACCCATAGACCACATCCTGCCGAGCATGCTACGGAGCAGTGACAAGACCAGAGTAGGGAGACTCAGAGAGGAAGGGAAAAGAGATGGATCTCCGCAGCTGAGAGCCGAGATCCGTCACAAGTTGCCACATTGTGGTGATGGTGGGTGAAGGAGCAGGAGGCGATGACCAAGCACGTGTGAATGTGGGGAACCGGAAGAACATCAGGGCATTTGAGACATCATGCCAACCTTCCGCCCGTAGATTTGAAACAGCGGCTTTGTGGCATCGACCTTTCGTGGTCAGACTTTGTGAATCCTCATGGTGTGCCGAACTTCTTCCTCGGAAGATGCGTAGCTGATGGGTACTCCTGGGTGTCGCGCGACCTCGACGCTACATCGGGGATCTGTCTCGCAGCTTTGGTAGGCCACTCGAAGCATCGGCCTGGCTTGTAACAAGTGAGCAGTTGTCAGACATTGTCAGACATTGTCAGTCATTACATTGAGAATCCAAGCTCCGTCTAAGCCCCAGTCCGTCTCATCTTCGACACTCCGAAAGCGGCAAGCAGAAGAGCCCTACCCGCAGCGTTGTCGAGCATATGTTCACCAAAAGTCCATGTGAGACAGAATGAACCATGCCAACACAGTCCCAACTTCTGCTCCTCCCTGCACTGCCATTCACCACGACTCGCTTCGAAATCCTGCGCATGAGCATTTGAGGAGTCTTTCACATGAGCAGAAGCAGCAGAAACGAGTCCTTATGCTCGAAAGGGATGCTTTCAGCACGGCCTCAACATTGTCTACAGCTCGGAGCTCTCTCGAGTCAGGGCACTGCTTTCCGCCTCGCTGTTTGGCAGCAACATGCTCCCACAGACGGGAGAAGCGGCAAGCGCGGAAGCCGTTCGAGCCTACAATGTCACCAATGTCACACTCGCACAATCTCGCGCAACCCAGAAGGCAGCCACAGAATGTCACTGTGCTGTGCAACTGCACGGCCTGAGGAATTGGAAGGCGAACGCTCTGCAACATCCTGCACCAAAAGAGACCCAGGACTCTGAAGTTTGGTTTGTGACCGATCCTGAAACCTCCCGTGAGAAACACACCAAGTCGGAACCTCGAGGCGCCGGACTCGCTGCCTTCCCCACAGTGCAAAAGGCTCAAGGGAAGGGGGGGGGGGGGAAATTGCCCCAAATGTTGCTGGATATTGACCGATCCAACACCCGAACCTGGATAAAACCCTGCCGGTAAAAGCTGTGTCACGAGGAGGAGGAATACCACCGCCAACCTTGCACGAGTGAAGAGTGTGCGTGGGTACTAAATGAATCAGAAGTATATATACACATAAACTTTATTTTGTACACATATGCTCGCCCCCCCCCCCCGGTGTCGGTTGTGGATGTGAAGGTGATCCCCGAGACGTCAGACTCTAAACCCTCCCCACTGGTGACTTACCTCGACTGTTGTTCTCGCGCTTTCCACTTTCCACTTTCTACTTTTGCTGCACCCACACCACCTCCCTCAACAACAGTGACACTCCAATGTCTCGACAAAAATGGAAAGTGGAAAGAACTGGTCAGAAAAAAGGAACGTGGAAAGTGGAGAGCAAAAAAATGAAAGTGGAAAGGGTGCTGATCCGAAAATCCTAAACTAGGGCTTCTTTGGGAGCTTAACGAATTTAGGGTATCCAGGCCCATTCCAAGAAAAAGTTCCTTAAGCGATATAACGGCTCAAGGAGCTGAAAATATGAAACGGATTCCATTTGGGGAAGTTGGAACTATTTGTGCTTGTAGCAGCAAAATCGTGCTCAATGCAAACGCATCTTAATGAACCACCCGAAACGTGCAGTGGCTAAGCTGGCACCTAGGCCTTCGCTGGGCTATGGCGAATGGCTGCAGTGCTATTTGCAGAGTTTGCAGAGTCTCTTTAGACATCAGCTGAAAGACGTGGCAGCCTGGGATTTGCCGAGCGCGATGCACGAAGAAGCAGGCGAAGGCAAAACACAAACTTCCGTTCAATAGATTTGGACAAGGAATGACAAGGACCACAACAGGCTCAAAGCCACCACATGGATTGGCCTGTTTGTCAGCTCCATTAGCTTCACAGATCAGGGACCGCCAGGAACCAAACTACAGCGCGCACTGTACAGCACATACAGCACATGTGCATGTGGACCAAGATCCGAGCGGGAAGACAAGTACGGCTAAAGCTGGGACCTCGGAAATCGATTTCTATGCATTCGAAGGCTCGCGTTGCTTTTTTTCAAGTGATTTCGAACGTGGTTTGAGTCCCAGGCAAGCTTCTCATGCAAAGCTATCGCGACAGGCTCCTCTGCACTGTGGAAGAGAGAAGTCGAGCAAGGTTCTTGCTCCGAGGCCTCTATGATAAAAGCAGTCTGGAGCAGCTTGCTTGCCTTGGCCTGGAGCTCCAAGCCGCACACACACACACACACACACACACACACACCCGCGGCGCGCGCGCCACCCACGTGCGCGCAGACCCACCAGGCCTGCCAGAGGGGTCTTTGGGAGGAGCCAGCGGCCGTGGTCGCCGGGATCCCCTTGCTTGTGTTGCCTGACCAAAGATGCAGAAAATGTCCCCAAGCTCTTGTTACACTCGAAACCCGAAACCCCGATCAACAGACAGAAATCCAGGCTTCAGTTCGTAGGTGAGCCAAAACCTTCGTGGGTGAGCCAAAACATTCCTCACAAGCAAACTGTTTGGGAAGAGCTGTGGTTTGTGGCATGAGAGGGCACAGTTTTTTTCAATTCATCTTCCCCGACCCGACAAGTTGCATGCCATAAAATGGCCGACAGATGTGACAATTACAGAGAGCAGCAAGAACATTGCAAAACCAAACAAGATCAACAAGGGCAAGGGGATTTCGTTTTCGAGTAGCTGCGCTTGACCCCAGTGAGCTGTAATGCTTCCTCTTCTTCGCGGCCTCCTTGCCTGTGGGATAAGGCAGACCTACGCAGATCTTGGTAAGAAGCCGACGGCAATCATAGCATCCAGCTGGAGCTGAGACGCGATTCAAACAAGGTGCGTACGACTGGAACGATGTCATGCTTGGAGGTGCGCCGCCAGAAACATCAGCGAGAAGACGTTTTGTCAGGCCCTCACATTTGCGTTGAGTGTGGTGCTTTTTTCACCGTCACGGGGTGAAAGGCTTTAAACTGTGTCTGCACCTTGAGATTGCCGACGCCATTCTTGATTTGCCCAAATGGCCAGGACCGTAAAATGCACGCAGAACATTTTGATCCCAGGACTGACGGACTGACTGGAAAACGGACAAGCTTAAGTTCCGGAGACGTTAAACTTTTGGTCCCGCAAGACCTGTGGGGAGAGTCTGGCACACCCGGAGTGCAAAAAATCATGTGCTTAAGGAAAGGCTTTGTTCTGGGCATGCTTTGCACACTCACAACCCACCTCCGCCGGAAGCTGCAAGTTGAAGGGAAGATTGCCTGGCGATGGCAGAGCAAAACAGGACATATGACACCGACATGATGCAGCCAGTTGACATCCATAACTGTCGAGCAATGCGATGCAACATCCATGCCAGCCAAGCAAGAAGGACATCTCAGCAGTCTCTTCAACAGTCTCTGCCTCAGGCAGAGGTGAAGTCGTGAACTGACACATTGCAAATTACACGACTTACACGGATTGCACGCAACCTGAATGCCCATGTGAATATTTTTATCAGCATGGGATGAGCTTTGCTTGCACGGACATGCCAGCTTGCCTCCCGGGGATCCACCGGACCAGGAAATTTGGGGCCGTGTATCTACTCTCCCCGTTCGGCTACCCCCCTCCCCTACCCTCAGCGCAACCCCCGTGCTTGGAAACTCCGAACGAGACTTCACACACACTCACACATGGGAGCTCATGCTTAGAGCAAATGGCGTTTCTCACCATCGGAGCAATAGTATCGCACATGCAGACGTGGCTCGTATCGATAGTTAGATTCGGGCCAAGTTCTTTCAGCATCAGATGCCTGCTGAACTGGTTTCATTGCGGTGGGCCGCCGAAGACCGTGCAAACGCTCAGGGCTGCACCGAGCCACTCAGCACATACGGCTGGTGGCACTTGTGGACATCATCTCCTGTACACTGCACAGCTGTGTGGAGCAATCATGCGCGCATTGGGAACGAAAAGTAGCAAATTTCAGCAGCATTGGCCTGCACCAACCACCGATAAAGCCACAGGGGCCAAGGCTGCTATGGACCTGAAACGTGCTGCAAGGATTTTGTGCAAAATGTGGAAATTTACATCTATGATTCCTCAAAGCTGTGTGTTTTGATATGTAACATGCCAGGGTTCGCGCAGCCACAAGCGGGGCATTGTACAGACCAACATGCATCTGCCTCAGAGCAACAAAGCGGGCTCCTACACCCCACCCCAGGAACTCAAAACAACTCAACGTAAGACAAACACACACACACACACACACACACACACACACACACACACACACACACACACACACACACGGAATGCACTACATAACTCCTCGAACCCACCAAAACATACCCTTTGCACGAGCGTAACATTTCAGATCGGCATCCCCCAGGTTTTCCATGGTTGCTTCGGGTGGGCACTTAGGAGTTTTTGAGGCCCTGAAGGGACCTTGAGGTTTTCATGGTAGACAGATGTAGATAGTAGAAACCGTTTAAACTGTGGCCACGAAAGCTAGACACGGGCCAATTCTGCTCTACGCAGCGCAGGTTGCTGAGTTGAGCGCGCTAGGGTTGGGCATTCCAATTTGAGGAAATTTGCAACAAGCAAGCTTTTCGGCTGCGTTGCACAACACTTTTCGGGAAGTGGAGTGATGTGGGGTGGGGGTGCGCCTCCATCAATCACACGAAATCTTCATGGGAATCAATCATTGCCGGCGGCATGGTGCCCACCCACCACCCACCCACCCACCCCTCCACGTCGAAGGCCATTAACTCATTGATTTCCAGGCCGCTTGGGGCCCGCGGTCGCTTTGCTAACTTTTCACCGACCAGAACACTTGAGAGATTGATTGGTGAACGGCAACTCTCGCACGCTCCAAGGAGCTAGCTTCCGTGACAAAGCAAACCTCTGCTGGGCTCCATGCTTCCAGTATCCAGCAGTGATGCCAGAGTCCGCTGTCCAGTATGTTTCACAGAGCGTTGTGTTGCCAATGCGGCAGTCTTGAAGGGGACATGCTTGGTCGCTTGAATCTACATTGCAGCATTGAGATGTTGTGATGTTGTGCGTGCCTCTGTTGCTCGAAAACTCGGTACGGTAAGCCTTGAGCCAGGCGGGATCCAGGAAGTGAACAGCGGCTCGCACTCGTGCAATTGAACGATCTGCAAGAAAACTTCGTTTTTGGAACAGGCGACGACAACATGCGACAGCGAACTTCGGTACCTCAGCGTACAGAGGCACCACTGCTGAGAGCCGGAGAGATAGGCAGAGGGAGAGGGAGAGAGCCAGGGCCCGCACATTGCCGAAGGGCCGTCGAAGGTGGGACAGCCATGTCAGCTGCACTCGGTAGGCGTGTCGTCCTCGGAGCTTGCATCCTGAAACGATCTCTGTGTCAGAGATCTACCAATCCGATCAGAAACGGAGTTCCCAATTCACCACAACACACCACGAGATCAAGTCGGCCTCCAGGTCAGAGCCGGTGCCCCCCCAGCTGATGAAGGTTGTGGCATAGCCCTGGCGGCGCAGCTCCTCTCACAACGAAACTTGCGTGTGGAGAGAACCTACAACCATCATGTACTGGTACCAACAGAGTCATGTCAGAGTATCGCGAAGCGATGCAGAGCGGGTTCAGCGATGCTGCGCGGGTCCCGCTTTGCCAGTTCAGGTAGCTTCTCCGGCAGATCCAGCCGACGCTCCGGGCAGTACCACCAGATCTAGGCGCGCAGGGCAAGCGGAACTGCAAAGAGCTGGCACTCACAATCATTCTGGTTTGCCAGAGACCGAAACACGGCATCCCACGTCACATCTCCAGCTTGGTCTCTGGCTGCGAGGTGGCTGCCAACCATGAACAAGCCCGCCGACACCTGCATTTGCAGCTTCTCCTACGCTTCTTTTCAGACCAAGACAATGGCAAATCAGAACGGTAAGCTATGGCAGTGCTTTGCGATCCCTTGTGATGCCTCGAACCAGTACTCGAGCGTCTTGAGGAGGAGGCACCTCAACGGAGGCAACAGAGTGCAAGCAGGCAGCAGAGTGGCAATAGCCTCCAGCCTCCAGCCTTCTCTGCCATTGCCTGCCATTACCTGCCATACCTCCCCCATTGATCCCATTGCTTGCCTCGCTTCCCATGGCACCCCACATCCTGCCTTAGCCTCTCATACTGTGGCCTCCGCCTACCTCTGCATTGAAAGCGGAAACCTCGTCTGGGACATGGACGACCCATGCGCCGTGTCTAGCAACAGCTTGTCCCGGTCTGCAATGGCCTGCACTCAAACATCCAAATTCCGCGATTCTCAACCGTGCCGGTTGCGCACACGCACGCGTCGAAACTTCGTGCAGTCGACTGTTTCTGGCTCCTGGGAGATTCGGACAGCGAGCGACAGGTGGTCGCCCCCTGCATGCATGCTCTGCTTGGATCTGTATGACTGCCGACTATGTGAACGCACACATTGTGGACAACTAACCGTCGAGTGCCCCAAACTCAGCCTGGCTTCTGCAGGACATACTCGAAGTCGATCTTGCTCGGGACCACCCAGACATCTGCACCTTGAATCCCAGTTGTGAACAGTCAGCCCACAAAGGCAAGCCAAGCATTGTAAGACCCACACAGGAATCTGTGCCTAGAGAATCCACTGGCTTTGGCGACAGGAAACCGCAAACCTAGCAACAAGAGAACGCCAGTACAGAAACATGGGTCTGAAGCATGTTACACGGCCAAATTCACTCACTCTTTTCAACTTGTGTAAGCGTGCAGACATTTGCCTGAAAAGCAATGCCGCTGCACAGAGACAAGCCGATTAGAGCAGCTCGGACTCGCCACTCTCTAGGCCTCGGGGGTGGGCCAGGGAATTGGGTGCAGAGCGACTCGCACAATCTTTCTAAGCCGGCCTACCAGGCCTACCATGCGTCCCAATCATGGACGAGCACCGGGCTTCAAGATTGGCCCCGCCACTGTGTCCTCCGGCACGCAGGACAAACAGGCCGGATTCCCGGGCCACAACTTCCGTATGAACATGCTAGAAGTCCTTGTGACCGGCACAAGCATATCTCAGCGCGACTATTTCGCACAGCCCGTAGCCGCCAACCATCATAATGGCACCGGATGTGTGCCTTGCAAATCTGCAGTACACCACACCCAAGCTATTCTTTCTAGCTGGGTACCCTGCAGAAAAACTGTGAAGTTTTCTCCGAAGTGACGGTTGGCCTTGCCGATTTCCACACGCCCCAAGTGCACTCAACAATTTGCAAGTGGTGAGAGCAAGGACGCTGCGGGAGGTACGGTGGGGATGCACGTCACCAGGAAGAGGCCGATGGATGGGCAAAACTGCAGGGGCGATTGAGACAATGCCACAGAGTGTAGCAGCATGAAAGCGGCATGAGGAAAAGCGCACAAAAGCACCTTATCCGTCAAGACCCTGTAACAATAAGTCCGAAAGCTCTCGGTTACAGCGTCAGTGCTCCCAACTCCATGTTCGCCGGGGTTCTGGTCAAGGCATTGTTTTTGCCGTCTTTATGGCCAACCCCAAGAATGGAAAATTGCAATATTGAATACAAGCGAGCCAGTGCAAGACCATCCTCTTGCCCTTCGTCCAGGTTTATGCCCCAAAATGTTCAGTGTTTGTGGGGATCATGTTAGACACTGAGGGAGGGACTGGGTTTGCAGAATCCATGACAATCATTGCATGCTGATTACATGCCTTTACCGGACTTACTTTCAGCAACCTCTGGGGCTGTGCTACCCAGGGGTACCTGAGGCAAAACCCACCAACTCCCCAAAAAACATGTGCCCCAGTCTGTATCCTGTCGCATGTTCTGCCAAGTAGGTCCGCAGCAACCACACACTTTCACCTCAATGAACGCAGGTCGAAATATGGGCTTGACAAATGGATGTTTGAAGGGATGGAATGCTAAGGCACGAGCACCATCACCCAGGTAAACGTTGCCTTCGCTTCGGTGTTGGATACGGCAGTTGGATCAAAACTCAACCAGCCCTGATGCACTGGGCTTACGTTTGCAGATAGGGGGCGCAGATGTGACGGATACCACGAGGCCAAGATGCAAATCGCCTGGCACAAACTCATGTGACTCAGCTGTAACATGTGCAACCCTGCAGGGTACCTCCATCAATGTATCATGCGAGAAGTGAGTGTATGTACACAGACACAAGCGAATGTAGACAACTGTCTGTATATGTATTATGCGTACTACATTAGTGTCCAGCCGTTCTGCAGTGCTTCGGGTGGCTGCACTGTCCCTTAGCTAAGTCCTCACGAGGTAAGCAGCGCTGGGCAGACCGCTAAAAGCCCGAAGCCGAAGAACAGCTTGCCCTCGGCACTCTGGTGGTCGTGCACCAGCTCGCTCACCTCTCAGGTTCAATCTCAAAGCCGGGAACTGCGTGCAGCTGCGCACAACTCTGCGTGTGTGTGTGTGTGTGTGTGTGTGTGTGTGTGTGTGTGTGTGTGTGTGTGTGTGTGTGTGTGTGTGTGTGTGTGTGTGTGTGTGTGTGTGTGTGTGTTGTGTGTGTGTGTGTGTGTTGTGTGTTGTGTGTTGTGTGTCTGTGTGTCTGTGTGTCTGTGTGTCTGTGTGTCTGTGTGTCTGTGTGTCTGTGTGTCTGTGTGTCTGTGTGTCTGTGTGTCTGTGTGTCTGTGTGTTGTGTGTCTGGGTGTGTCTGGGTGTGTCTGGGTGTGTCTGGGTGTGTCTGGGTGTGTCTGTGTGTGTCTGGGTGTGTC